AGAGTTTTATCGTTTTATCGTTTTATCGTTAATCGTTATCGTTAATAACTGCTTCACTACGGTTGGTTGACTCTTGGACGTGGATCTGGATGGAGTGTGGTGTACCGGTGTGTACCAAAAATGCGCGCGTGAAAGAGAGAAAAAGCTCCGTCGGCCTCGGTTCTTTCGTCAACGTTCTCTTCTTTCCCGTCCTCTGCCAGGAACAACGGCCTCCTGTGTCCAAGGTCCTCGCCAAGGATCTCCATAACTCTTCTTCTTTATCTTCTTTTGTTCTTTCTTTTTTGTTTCGCGTCCGCCTCCTCCGCTGGCGCTACGATCGGGCCGGTGAGCGCCGCCATTTTGTCGGCCGGAGAGCAGCGACTCGGCGCTCCCGCCATCTTTTCGCATGCTCCTATCAACGACCATTATACGGAGTAGCGTGAATTATTAGACTTTCAAACTCGATAGTCACCGTACGTGTCGCAACGATTGAATGTTGACATTGCTTAGCCGGAATTCGGACAAATTCTAACGAAGAAACGCGAATTAATTTTACGTATATTAACGCGGATAGCGCGGACTGTTGCGACATAGTAAATACATAAATAGTACTAGTAAAAACTTTGAACAAAATTAACAGATTTCACGGTCCAACAGTTGATAATTTGAAGATTTTAGAACATCAAAATTTAATACTTTCCACGGTTCAATAACTCGAGTCTAATAATTCACGCGGCCCCGCGATTCATTAAGGATCTAAGCACACGACGACTTTCGGGTCGCTTCGCCGCGTTTCCTTCTAACAATTTCAATCCCCACTTCCTCGACAGCACGCGAACGACTCTTTCGTCATCCTCTGTGCGAGACTTCCGTCGCAGACTAGCACCAGTTCCGGTCGTTGATCGCGTCGCGTTCGTTGTCGTACATTTCCGCTTTCCAGCTCGGCCGTAACAGCCGAAGGGAGGCGGATCGATCGTTATCCCGGTTTTTTCCGCTTCCGGTTCCCGTGTCGGTTCCTTCGCGGCCTACGATCACGTCACGTTGTGAAAAAACCAAACACTACGCCTCACTACAGTAATTCGTTCCGCTTTGCTGCTGCCACGGCTGGTGTTCCGGTCCGCCGGTTTGTTCGAGGAAAAATACCGACGCCTCATGAACATTCCCGAGATACACGAATAATTAACGCGATCGCTGCGCATCGAGAATATTGTTTCTTTTGATCAGGCGTGGCTACTTTTGCTGAGAGTAGTGAAACTAACGCCGAATGATTGTTCATTGATTACTCATCGATGACGAAGTGGAGGAAGTGTTTGAGAATATTATTCAACATTGAATAAGCGAAACGTAAAAATTCAAATACCGATCGAGTTCATTCGAATTCAGAAGACACCGAGCTTTGAAAGATTCTAACAAGATTAAAAACTATTAAAAAATATAATGCATCCCTCTCACATGAAATACCCCAAGATAATAATTCAAACAATTCCCCTAAAAAGAAATCAGTTCTTCGTTACTTCGTAACCCAACTCATTTTAACGTTCTCGCGTAACAAAATGTAATGAAACGCGGCGATTCCTTCACTTTTCTCTCGCTCCCTCGAAACTAGGCGTCTTCGTGGTATCTTAACCCCTTATCCTAATATTTCCTTCGCAACTATCCTTAATAGAACTACTCTATCGTTAACAATTTCGTAGAAAAAGGAAAGAATTTGATGCTTGCTCTATCCACGTATACTCCAAAGGTTAAAGATCGATAACAGACAAGTAAACATTTCATTTACATAAAAACTATACAAATAACATTTAATCTTGTCGAGTTCAATTGAGAATTTTCATCAAGAGTCTAACTCGATACTACAGAAGAAGGGGTTAAGCATCCCTCGATCTCCGGGAATGTTCGAGGCCCGGAAAAGGAACGATTTTCAGTCCCTGTACCGGCGAACATCGAAAGAAACGAATCTCCTCGCGGTGCCGTCGACGATCCCGCGAAGCCGCCTCGTCTCTGCGTCTTCCTTTCCATCGTATCCCCGCGATGTCCCTTTCTAATCTACATTTTTCACCCGGCGATTGTCCCGTCAGCACCGATCGCGGGACCGTCGACGGCGTCGCTCCGCGTAAACCCGCGAGTGCGATACCGATAACGTATTACGTACATACGGTGTACACAGTGTATAATTGTTTTCCGTAATATAGACTTATATAAAACGCACGAAGCGGCTGAAGGCTATTTTTCATCCTTCCCTATTTTATTTTACCTTTTCGTATTTATAGCATACAAGCCGTACCTTGTTTCCGCGCGATTCGACGCGCTCTGCTTCGCGGTGTCCTCTAATTCATCTCTGCCTCCTCCCTCGCACACACGCACACGCACACGCATACATGCGCACACTTACGCAGACTCTCGCTCTCTATCACGCTCTCCCTCTCTTTCTCACCGATCTTCCTCGACACTTGTTTTTCCCCTCGTTTCCCTCCTTCGTCTCGTTTTTCTTTTTTATTTTCTTTTTTTAATCAATGGAAAAAGAATTCGGGCTTAACTACGGCGGATCCCTCGAGATCATTTGAATATCCTAGAAACGTTACTGACTCGCGTGTGTTCGTCTAGGTGCGTGTCTCATTTTCCTCTCTATGTATTTATCGCATGGCGTCCCTCTTCTACGTGTCTCCCTTCTCCGTTTCTTTGCTTGCCTGCCTGTTTCTCCGTCTTCCCCTCCCTGCGTGGCAATTCCTCCGTGTACAGTGGACCGGTATCCTTGTTCTACCCACGCGTCGCAGCGACAAGACTTTCCTCGTGCCTCCTTCGCTCTCGCGAAAAACTTTCAGCTTCATCGGATTCGATAACTTTCTTCGTTTCATTATTCACGTGTGACCATCCGAGGAATGCGCGGAACGGGCGTTTTCAATTACTCTGACCAATTAGCCATTCCCGAAAGATACACGTCCAATCACGTTTACTCTACGAACGACGTTCCTCCAGCAACTTTCATCTAAATGCTCTGTTCAAAGCTGCACCTCTTCGAGAGGTGACCCTGCGTCGCCTGCCACGCACCACGTGTCTCCGTCCTCCTCCACCTACACGTCGATGGAATAATCTCAATCCTCTAGACCTTCATTCTCCTCTCTTTCGGCCGGAAGTGATAATCCATTGAAAAGCGCATCGAAGCGGCCCTAGAAGCTCTCTCTCTCTCTTTCTCTTTCTATCTCCATTCCGTTCTCTTTCAACAACTTATCCGCGAGCGACAGATGCTTCTTCGTCGCTTCAACGATCCTCTTCGTCTTCCTCTTCGCGCGCTTTACTTTCTCCGGAACGCTGAAACCTCGTTGCTCCTGTTTGATCACACGTTGCCTCGAAGAACGACGGACGCGACGCAGGGCAAGGACGGGGAGGAGAGAAGCCAGCGAGAATCTCGTCCCCGACGGGAGAATACAGAAAATTCCACCGGATCAGGGACGAGCAGACGAACCACGAAAGGAGCTTGCACAGGAACCTCGGATTCTTCATCTTCCCTCGTATTATTCTTCACCCGTTCCTACGTTCGTCTCTTCCTTCCTCTATCGATCTACTTTCTCTCGCTTTCATCCTTTCCCTCTAATCTCCATTCCCGGCGCTACGGTCTCTCGAGGACGTCACTGCTAGTTTCCCCGCGCGAGCTGCCGCTCTAGTTCTCGGATCCGCTGCCTTTCCCCCAGAACTTGTCGAAGCGGTTTCGCGCCTTCTCCAGCACCTCGCTCGCCGCGGAACGCTGCGCCGAGCCCGGGACTACTGTGGGTGCTTCGAGAACGTGGTAGCCGCCGGTGCTCGCCATTGGGCCACCACCGCCGCCGCTGGTTCCGCTTGTTCCGGTGCCGGTCGCTGACTGAGGAGATTCCGCTTCTAGGATGCGGTAGCCGGCCGGTTGCGAGGGGGCCGTCGACGACGAGGGTGTCGTCATCGTCGCGGTCGTCGTCGCCTGGGTCGCGTCCTTCTTTCTCTCGTACTCGTAGCCAGGATCCTCCAAGCAACGCAGATTCGTACCCGCCACTGGCTTTATCGATGGATCCGCCCTTGACTCCGACTTCGAATCGTCTGCTCCGCCTGGCTCCTGAAATTATAGATTGTTTTACTCGAGGTTCCTTTGTTCGTGAATTGTTCAATATCTCATGGATAGATTAGGTCGTCCAGTAAGTTCGTGTCATATATTTCTCTGCCATTTATATCACACGATTTTATAAAATATCAAATTCTCAAATGTTATATCAGCCTCCTTTCTCAATGAAACGCGCATGGGTAGATCAAGTTTGTAAGAGACTGCGTTGAATTAACTTCAGCTACTTGTGCTTTGAACAATAGTCCTCTAATAAGCTATTGCTATCGAAGGCTCGATTAAGAATTCCGTAACCAGTGGTCGTTGATCTTAACGCGTTACGAAAGAAACACTCGAAGTACCTTTTCAGCCTGCGGAGGTGTGCTGGTGCCCCGCGCGCTCGTGGGGAACGGACTGTCCCGTTCCGAGTCCATGTCCTTGTGGCCGTTCAAACCGGTGAAGCTGCCGATGGAGATGCTCTCGCTTTCCGGCGACTTGTACCCGGAGTGCTGGGAGTGCAGCGACTTGTGCTGCGCCGCGAGCTCCGGCGGGGCTGACTGCGGCGCTGAGGGGAGGGAAGACGGTGCCCATGACTTTGCCTCGCTATGCGGACGCGTCAGGGGTTCTAGCGAATCGAATGGCACGACAGTTTCGTTAAACCACAGTCGAAACTTCTACTACCAGCTAGATATTTAATCACTACTCCTACCGAGCATTTAATAAGATTAAATTGTAGTTCTGAAAATTGTAGCAGCAGACTATTTTCAGTTTCTTCAAACGTCAAGATCATTTCAAATATTTCAATGCTTTAACATCAATAATTGCGAAACAAACCAATCATGCTGACTGGTACGGTACTTCTAATATCAATATCGATAATTCTAAATAACATATAGCTCTAATAGACAGCATCATCACACAGTTATCTAAAATTCCTCGGTGTTTAAGAAACTTACAAACCTTCCAATTCACATGAAATTTATCAAATTCCCAAGATCCTTCAAAGCTTCCATAAAGAACAACTATTCGCATCGACTACCCTCTAATACCACCCTCGAACATAGAAATTTCAAGAGCGAAGCTCGACTGGTGCTCACCT